TTGATCTGATACAACCTCCTACCGCAGACCCGCAATAGATAGGTTGCACGTGTGCAGCTTTTGTGTCCACCTACAGAACGAAAAGTTCAAGTGTAAATTACGTAGAAAATGTAGAACATAAATCATGCACTAAAAATGCTCTAAAAAGAAGTCATGTTACCATATATTTTTGCTTAACTTAATATATAGTAGCAAACATTCTAAATAACCTATCTATAGGAACAAACAAAAGGTGAAATTAATGCAAATACATCAATTTCTAACAATTACTAAATACTTTAATCTTTATAGAACACCAACAAGCTTTTCAACAAGAATCTTATGCTCCATTTACTTATATTAGAAAAATCAAAATTCCATGCTACAATGCTCTAAACATTTCATACAATATATTCCCAAAAAGTGTTTGCACACACACACACGAACACAAACATTTTAGGCAACAGGTCCACAAACTATAATCAGATTCAACCGACAACCTTGTCTTTCCTACTAAAATAAGAGGTTTTTTTGGGATTTGTTAAACATCGCCCACAAATTACTACATAAAGCCCACAAAATTCACTTGGTTTGCCAAAATTGCCCTTGACCTTAAAAAAAAAACACTCACACTCTCATCACTCACACTCTCATCACTCACACTCTCATTGCTCATCTTCTTTCAACCTCTCTAAAAAAAAAATTCAAATAACGGCAATGTCGAGGCGGCAAGGCAAGGAATTGGCGGCGGCGGCGGCGGAGGGAAGGATGTCCCAAGGAGGAAAGGTACATTTTGTTAAAAAAAAAAAAAAGAAAAAGAAAAACCGCTGTGACGGCGGTGGGGCGCCCTGGCTGGACGCCCAGCCAGCGGTGGTGGCACCAGCTGCAGACGCCGCCACCAGTTGGCTGGCGCCTGGGCTGGACGCCACAGCCACGGTCGTGGCGTTTATTCAAGGCGCCGCAGCCGTGGTGTGGCGTCCAGCCCAGGCGCCAGCCAACTGGTGGCGGCGTCTGCAGCTGGCGCCACCACCGCTGGCTGGGCGTCCAGCCAGGGCGCCCCCCCCCCCTTTTTTTATATTTTTTTAAAAAATTGTTTTTAATTTTTTTTTTTTGTGTAATATATTTTTGAATTGTTTTTATATTTTGTTGTTTATTTTTATAAATTTTTTCAATTTCGTTGTATTTTTTCTACGTTTATATTTTGTTTACAATTATTTGTATGTTTTTAGTTTATTTGATTTGCGATGATGATTATTTATCGTATAAATTTTTGTATGTTTATATATTTTAAAATTTTGTGTAGAATTCACTGGGTCGTCATGGTGCGGGGAAGAATATAGAGCTTCTTAGTAGAAGTTATTCAGTGGAGAGGTCGGGGCATAGACATGTCAGATCCCGTGGTATTTTGGCCTCAGCTCGTAGAGAACGGATCCACCGTCGGGATGAGGATGACGATGACGATGATGATGCTGAGGAGGGTGACCAGGAGGAGGAGCAGGAGGAGGGCGCAGATGAGGATGAGGATGTGGACGATGGCAGTGGACCGTATGATGATTACGGTCCATTCAGTCAGAGGGTTGATGACATGTACGAGACGCATATGGTGGAGGTGCGTAAGGGTAGGGGTGGTAGGTTTGTTAGTAGATCTGGCACATCATCTGCGTCCACTGTATCTGGGGCAAGCAGGAAACGGTCGAGGGCCGGTAATGATTCTTGGGTTGTTAGGAGTGAGGTGCCCGGTGGGCCTGTTGACGGGAGTGTGATTCCTAGCTTTTTAGGACACATAGCTGCTCGTATTTGGGAGGACCAGGAGAGGCCTTCAGTTACGGGGTTGTTGAAATGTCATACCCGGGAAAAGACTTGTAGCTTTTTGTGTACATGGGCTGAGGCCTGGCCGGCGGAGAGCGAGATGTTCGAGCAACTGGAGGGCACTGGGGTGAATCACGTTCCTGCCACCATGCACGATAAGATTGACAGTACGCTGATCACGGCTTTCATTGAGCGATGGCAGCCGGATACAAACTCTTTCCACCTTCCGTTCGGTGAGATGACGATCATGTTACATGACGTCGAGGCCATTCTGGGGATTCGTGTTGAGGGTAAACGACTTTGTGCTGTGGCTGATGCGGATCAGGCTGATTCGCTGGCGGAGTTGTTGGCGGTGGACAGGGCTGCACTGTACACCGAGGCGCTAGGTGTTTGGGAACACGGAGGTGTGAAGATCGCATCCGTGTTGCAGCGGTGTTTGTACCCCAGTGCACGTAGGACGCCCGACGCACAGCTGAGTGCTTATGTTTTTCTACTCCTCGGATGTACCTTGTTTCCGGATAAGAGCGGCGGAAACAAGCTCAGGCCACGCGACATAGTAGAGGCGTGTGACCCGGAAAGTGTAGGCCAGTTTTCCTGGGGATCGGCTACGTTGGCGTATTTGTATCGCCAACTAGGATTTGCAAGTCGGGCTGACGCGGCAGGTATCACTGGGTGTCTGACTCTATTGCAGACCTGGATATACGAGTACTTTCCTGCATTGCGACCACATCGTGACCCAGTTCCTATTGATGAGGGGATGCCGCGTGCTTGTGCGTGGAATCCGCGCTCGGAGAAGAAGTCCGTTGACCGCCTCCGATCGATACGGTTATTGCTGGACAGGCTGTCCCCCTTAGAGGTAACGTTTATTTATAGAGTTTACATTTTATTATTTGCACATATTATATTCATGTTATTAAATTTTATATGTTATTATTGTACAGGTGAACTGGATGCCTTTCGGCCCGAACCCTAGTGTTAGGGTACCCAGGACCCTGTACACGGGACTCATTCAGTATCGTGAGATCGTCGAGGCGTACATGCCCCAGCGTTGTCTTCGCCAGCTTGGATTTGTCCAAGTTGTCCCTCCTCCCCCGGCATGCCCGATGAAGGCGGTCCGACCTGCATCGTCGAGGGACTACGTCGTGCAATGGCCGGATATCATGACCGGGACGTGGGACCAGTTTTCGATGGTGGCCCGCTTATGGACTGCGGAGTTGCAGCGGCCGCCCTCTGGGGTTACTCCCATGTGTGACCATTACTACATGGAATGGTTCAACCGGTATTCGCACCCGAGGTTGATCGCAGATCTCGACCACAACGATGATGATTATGTGCCACCGCCTACTGCCACGGAAGCGGTATGTCTTTTATTATATTTATCGTTGTCTTTTAATTAAGTTTTATATGTTGTTATTGTATTTCATCTTCTGTTTTTTGTTGTATGCAGTGGATGGGAAAGGTAATGCAGGACGTACAGAAACTCTCTCTTGAGAAGGACAGCATGAGTGCAACAGGGAGAGCTGTTGTTGATAGTCTAGAACACACCCTTGCGCAGTGGGAGTCGTCATCGAGGAGGGATTACTGATGGTTATTGTATTTTATTTATAGAGCATTATGTTGGACATTATGTTGTAAAATTGTAACATTTTAGATTGTTCTTTTAGCTTCCAACTTAAACATATTATCAGTGCTGTTTTTAAATTTTGATATAACCGTTCGTGGATCCGCGACCCATGCAACATATAGAATGCAGTAAGCAATACAATATAAAATCCCAACCATCTCAACCAGTGGGAACTTGTACTTGTTTGTCTTGTACGTTGAGTCGATCAAAATCACAAATGGCCAAGACTTGATCATATCAGCACAATCAGGATGCACAAGGAAAAGATGAGTCACCTCCGCTGTATCTTCATCAGAATCAAACCAGAACAGGTAACCACGTGATTGTGCCTGGTGTAGCAGCTGCTGTATAGGGTTCCTTCCCTCTGACCGTTCAAACCTAAGTTGCTGTCTGACGTTGTAGATGTGTCTTCGGTTTGGATGGTCTTCTGGAAATTTCTCTAACACAGATGCTAATATTTTAGCAGGCTTCACTTGAGCATCACTCATTTCTTTCACAACTAGTTTCGCAACAGGACTTAAGCCGCTCAGTTGTCGATGACCCTCTTCATATACTATCATCTCATGGTTGTGATACCCCCATTTAGAGTAACCAATCACTTCCCAACCGTCACGACTCCGTAGTTGTCGAACCTTTACTCTAAACTCACACCCACAACCTTTCCGCTTTGTATCAAACCGAGTGGCTGTACGAAAATCTCTTTCTTCTCTTTTGCGATAACGGTCACATCTCAAAATGCGATCCATTCTACCATCCCGTTGAGATTTATGAGTTACTACTACCAAGCAAAATCCAGCTGCAATTGCAACCTGTTTTGCCCAATCAATCGCCTGTTGAGCTTCTTCGAATGGACCATCATGTCCAAATATCCCACTGTAATCATTTCCGTCTCCACCATATTCCTGCATCAATTATATATTACAATAAATACATTTAACGGATAATACATTTAATTTCTATATTTACACAGAATTAACACAAAAAAAAAAACATAATTATATATAATCAAACTTAATTTTTATAAAAAACCCAATTCGAATTTTCAAACTAAATTTAAAAATATACCATTTCGAATTTTCAAATTTAATTTTAAAAAAACCTATTTCGAATTTAATTTAAAAAAAACCCATTTCGAATTTTTTTAAAAAATCATTTTCGATTTTTTTTTTTACAAAAAAATTAAATAAAAAACAACAACAAAATCAAAAAAGAAAAAAAAAATTAATTATTAAAGGTGGCGTCTGCCAGGGCTGCCACAGCCACTGGACTGGCGCCTGGCAGGGCCGCCTCACCCAGTGGAGTGGCGTCTGCCCAGGACGCCAGTCTGGTGGTCTGGGCGTCTAGGCTGGACGCCACTCTGGTGGTTCTGGCGTCTGGCTTGGACGTCCAGGCTACGGTTTGGGCGTCCACCCTAGGCGCCGGAGCCACTCCGACGGTAAACCGTGAATTTTAACGGTGACTTACCTCGTTTTCCGTCGACGATGACGTACCTCCGGCGTCCCCCGCATCTCCGGCCTGCCCTCCGGTCTCCCCCGGCGAGCCAGTACGGCTCCACATTTTTTACACCGAGATTATTTCAATTTTAGAAAAAGGGCATAATGGTCAAACCATATCATATTTGTGGGCTTTATATGGTAAATTGCGGGCGATGTTTAGCGTTTCACGTTTTTTTATGAGCTAACAAGTTAAAAGAAGATATCCTATTAACATGAATATGCACCTCTATCTCAAGATGATTATCCCTCACCAATAACAACCTTGTGACTGAAAAGAAAACAGGACAATCATGACCTTGATCACCCTTCTAGAATCCTTCAATTTTTTCCTCAATGTAGATTTACCACCTCAAGTGTATTAATTAATGAAATGCAGTTCCCCACTACCCCAACGGCTACTACTACTGCAACTTCAAGGCCTTATTATGATTTGGACCTAGAATATAGAAACTAAACACCAACAATGAACATTTCTTAAATACTTCATCAGGCTCCCATTATTATACCACTGACATCATAATTGGCAAGGTAAGCATAACAACAATGATAGCAGAATAAAAAAAATGATCCCTTGTATAGAATGAAAAGTGAATCTTTTTGTAAATTTTGCTATCCATTCCATTCTAATTTTGCCAGAGACAAAGGACTGACATGACATTGAGCCATTAACCACGAGGGAGAAACATGTAACATCATAATCCACATCCAAGATAAATAATAAAGTATCCTAACACTAAAAACTTCACAAGGATGTGAACAGGCCCCAAGGAAAAATTACCAACAAAAACATTCTAAAATGATCGATACAATGATCCTTCAACAACCGGAGCTAACCACATTTCACATAGCAAGGCATTATTGGTCTCCAAACCACATGGAAATATTACCGATAAACACATTCTAACAAAAGACTGCAGCTATGCTTCCCACAACCAGAGCCTACCTTTCACATAAGGCACACCGGGAAAATGTAGGTTGCAAGAAGTAAAAGGTACCCTAAGTCTTAACAATTACAAATACATCTATGTTAGCAACTACTTGAGCATGAAATAATGTGAAGAAATAATTATAGCAAGTAGCAAAGCTTAATGTACAAGTTCACAGATCAAATCATCCAACAATAGAGATTTACCAAAAACCTCTTCTATCTTTGTGTTAGTCTTGGTCTACAGAGTTCTCATATCAGTTTTCATTCTTTTTAACTTAGGTCCCACCTTACCTGCAAAAAAAAGCCAGTTATGCAAATGATAGAACAATAAGGACAATAGTAATAACTTGTATCACTAAATAGAGAAAAGCAGACAACACTGTTGAAAACCATACACCAACACCAAGAGGTTACACATGCCAAAAATTGAATGGCGTAAGACTTCACTCTGAGATGTTACTTTATGTCCACACGGCTACCCTGGAATTCATTTTTTCTTTGCAGTCTTAGTTACCTTGTTTATTAGATATTTACAACAACAATAGAAAGAAAAAATCAAAATGCATTCTCCATTCTCTAGAAAGAAGAACTAATGAGAATTCTATGATTTTATCAATTTCCAGCATAAAAGACAGGTGCAGCTAAAATATTGGGTATCTTTTGGTTTTAATGTTCTTTAATGGATTCTTCAACATGATATTCATATTTCCTTAAGAAATTAACACTGGAACTCAATGCAGCCATAACCTAGACATTCGTTTTCTTCCTTTTTTTTTTTAGCACAGACAAGAAAATCATACAGGGCAAAATGTCAGCTAAGATTTCAATAATCACTAGCAGGTAAGGTAAGCAATTATTGGGGCAGACAAAGAGAAGATGCAGTGACTTTAAAACCTTTGGTGATAGTCAAAGATGTGACAGAAGTTTTGAAGCCTCCAATAATTTATTAGCCTCTGGATCAAACGGCCAATTAGCTTCACTTCATAGTTTCAGACATGCAGAGAAGTATTCACAACTCAAAAGGCCCGGTTTGGTAAAGAGCTTTTTGCTCAGCTATTAAACGGTTTGTAAGAATAGTAATTTTGACCAACCAAATTGCTCTGTTCAATGTTTAGTAATAAGTGGATTTCATCAGCACATTGGAGACAATCAGCTAATTTTCTTTTTAAAATTCCTTATCCTGGCTTTTGGGGAAAGTGGATTGGGATTTGATATATAAACATACAACCTTTCTCCATATTGTATAAAATTAAAAGTGTTTCGGGGTTTTCTGATGTCCTGCGGGAGAGTTACAATTCCGAGACTGGAACCGGACGCCTGTACCTGCAAAATAACGGACTCCTGTGAGCTCCGCCTCCAACGGTCAAGTTAGTACCTGATTAAGGAGTAATTAATGCGGAAATTAAAGTGATTTGGTCTCTCTAGGGGAGAGTGTTTAATGTAGGTAATCTGCTTTGTTAGCGAGATCAGCCGGTTATTACTGTGTGTAATTAATGTGTTTTTTCCGTAATGTTTCTGTTCTCTCCCTTAATGAGGATTAAGGGAGGTATTTATAACCTTGGAAAACGTGCCCATCCTAGGTTTAGGTAAACCTAGGGCCGATTGGGCTTCCCTCGAAAGTTGGGCCTGGGTGGCCGGTTTCTCCATTAGGCATGGAGTATGCCACATGTCTTGACATAACAGGTCCAAGGTGGACGAATAAGCGCGTGCCACGAGGGAAGCCCTGACTGTTCCAACTGGGGGACACTTGGCAGGACCTGATTGGTCCACGTGGCGCATTCCGATTGGTGGGAGCAAAATCCCCTAATCATTTGCCCCTCACAGGTGGCACGTGATTGGTCACGTGTTACCTGTGACAGGTGTCGCACTGTAACAGGCGACGGCCTGCTACAGGTGTCAGTCGGCGAAAGGACGAGAGATTTTCCCGCCCAAATTTTGAATTCTGAAAGTGACCGTTCGCCTTCTCACTTCGCCTATATAAGGGAGAGTTGTCTTGAGTCATTTTCACACTTTGAGAACTTTTTGAGAACATTCGGACCCCTGAACTTGCTCTGACATTTTGGACCTTTTCAGCCTACCGCCTGTTCTGACAAGCCGACTGCACAGGATTTTCAGAACTTCATCAACCGTCACTCGTTCAGGTAACTCAGTTCTCTTACTCTTAATTTTCTTTTTATTTTCTGAAATGGCACCACGGAAGCACACGACACGACCTAGGTTAGTGATCAGCCGGTCACCGGGGACGGCTGAATCTAGGGCTAGGAGTGCCGCCTGCCCTTTTCCGGACCCATCTTTGCCCTTTATACAAAGTCCGACTGTATCTGTGTCTATGCAGAGCAGGATGGCCAGAACGAAAAAGACAGCTAGGATCTCAAATTCAGACGGCTCCTCCCACAGGGTGCCGCTTAGTGAAACATGAAGTGAAACAAGGCGGCCTGGATGCCGGCAATTCTGTGGGGGGAGTCATAGTGACCCCTTCCCATTTAACAGTTAACAAATCTGCTCCTTTTCAAAGGGAGGAGGCGGGCCCCTCCGGGAGAGAGGAGGAGTCGTCCTCTTCGGACTCGTCGGAGGACGATTCCGAGTCAAGCTCTTCTGGCCATGCTTCTTTGGGTACAGAAGAGAAAAACAGCCGCCTGCAGGAGGCGAGACTTTCTCACGCAGTTGAGAAGGGGGACAATTGGGCGGAACCATCCACCTCTTACCGAGAGCTAAATACCCCCTACTACTGCACGGTACCTCGGGGCCGAATCACAGCCATGCAAGAGAAAGTGGAGAGCTTTATTGCAAACCACACCATGGGCCCCGATTTTCTAGTGTTTGTGCCGGATCCAGAAGACACAGTCGTCTGGCCGGCTGGTTCCAGTTATGATAGCGCCTGCTTTGGCTGCTACGAGGCGGCCATCAAGGCAGGGCTTCGCTTCCCATTACATCCGGCTGTTCAGCGGATTTTGGATGGGTATGAGTTGGGGTTATGGCAGTTAGCCCCAAACTCCTGGGTCAACGTACTCGGCTATGTGGCCGGGTGCGAACTGCACGGGGTGGAGCCGAGCTTCGAGGCTTTCGCCCATATGAACTATCTCAGCCGGACCCCTAAGACAGGCGGTACCGGCTGGTATCAATTGACAAGCCACAGGGGCTACCTCATGACAAGAGGTAAAGCAAACAAGTGGAAGGACTGGCGGAGCACCTTCCTCATCATTGAGAGTTCAGACATTGAGCTGAACAAGCGCTTCAATAGGTGGAACAGGAATCCGCCCCTTCTTGCAGGCGACCGCAGCATGCCGCCTGTTCCCCCCAAGTCTAAGAAAGAGATCCTTGATAAAGGACTCTTTAAAGTAGAGTCGAGGGTCGACTCTACTTCAGGGGTACGAGAGCAAGTACCCCTGCACTGCGTCCCGAGCTTCAAGTGGCTCTATGACGAGTACTTTTTGGCCACCTGCGGCCTCAACAGTCGGTGCTCAAGAGGTAGTCGGCCTGTCGAATACTCTGTCGTTCCATACATTTATTGTTTATCTTTTATTAACTTTGCTGTTTGTTTTTGCAGCTGACGCCATGAGCAAAATCACCGCCTCCAAGACTGCGGCGACCATGTTGCGGGCCTCTATTATGCAACAAGCTTCAACCGACTCCCCCAAAAAGGGGGCACCCTTGGTGAGCTCCGAACCTTTCTCCCTCTTTTTGGAGTGTTTATGCATATACTGACTTTTTTCTTCTGTTTTAGACGGGTGCTCCAAGAGCTTCATCTTCCCAACAGCCGGACCCCAAGGCCCGGAAGACGACTATTGGGAGCTCTCCTGGTTCTGCCAGGAAACAGGTGGCGGCTGAGAAACAGCCGGCCACTTCTTCTAAAACTCCAACTGGGCCGCCTAGAGGTATGAAGTTGTCGTTGTAATTTTTAGACTTGCTCCCTTTTTTACTAAGTCTAATCCGTTTGTTTAAGCTTGATGCAGCCGGCCCCAGGAGCCTGACTTGGTAGAGATGGCCAAGTCTATGATCAGGGCAGTTCCTCCAGCTGAAAGGGAGGCGGTCAGGGGTGTCGGCACCCTTGACCTTGACGGGATTGCAGGGGTCCTTGCTGAGGTATACTTAGCATATTTTTGAGTATTTGAATTTCTGGACGCCTGTTTTATTTTTTGTTTGGAAACTGACGCCTGTTTCTTTGTACTTAGGCCCTGCTCCGAGTGAACGGCTTTCGCAAGCCGCTTGATCGGAAGAACAAAGAGGTAAAGGCTGCAAAAGCTATGGCCGCCTCTGACTGTGATAAGGCAATGTTTCAAATTGCCCAAAATGAAGTTCTGACCATTGATATTCTTTATTATCAGGCGCAGGCTACCGCCGCTGTTCGGGCTCAGTTAGAGGCGGCCCAGAAGAAGAATGACGAGCTGGAGGCGACCATCACAAATCTCAAGGCCGAGCTGAAACCTCTTCGCCTGAAAATGTACTCTTACGAAGCCATGGAGAAATCCTTGGCCAGCGTAAAGGAACGCCTGGTGACCCAGGAGAAGAGTCTTACCCAAGAGCTCTCGGTAAAGGCCGAGCAAGAGAAGAAAGAGCTGGTCCGGGAGATGATGGAAGACTCCGCTCAAATCCAGCGCATGACCTGGGGCCGCCTCTTCCCCAGTGCCGACTTTGCCTCTTGGGAAAGAACGTACCGCCAGTGTTCGGATACATATAATCAAGAGATCCTGGCGGCTGCTGAAGAAGAGGTGTTGGGGGAAGCGTTGGAGGAGGAGGAGCCGGTAGTGGCGCTTGTGCTGCTTGGGGGTAAGGCATCAAAAAAGGATGCAGCTGAAGCCGAGTCCAGCAAGAAGAGTGCTGACCAGGCGGCAGCTGCTAATACTGAACTGCCCCCTTCTTAAGCTTTATGTATTCTTTCCACGGCCTGCGTGCCGTTTGCTTTGTATTGGCCGGGGCTTTGAATATTTTGCTGGTCTTTAATGACCGGCTTATTTTTAATGAATTTTTGTTTTGCCTCAAATTTGTCTAAGTATTCCATATCTAATATCCAATTGTTCACTAGACCGACTGTTTTACATGGCCGAACGTTGCAGACAGGTACTCATAGTTAGTACGCCGCCTATGCCCCTGGACGACTGGTTGTCTGTTTCCAGGATAGACGATCAGTCGGCCATTTATCCAATCAGTATTCGAACTATTTTGTCTGGATCCTTTTTAGGCAGGCGGTCCTGTCATTTGTAAATTTAACCAAGTAGGAAAGTGGTCTGACCAAGTAAATAGAGCATTACCTAGTCGCCAAGGAACTGAGTAGTAGAGATAACAAGCGGCGG